CTTCACCTTTTCGGCATGTCATATAAATGGAGTCATAAAGAGGCAGTTTCTTATGTCTTGCTTATTCCCTTAGCGTAAGGCTTTTGAGATTCATCCATGCTGTTGTACATATCAGTTGTTTGCTCTTTGTTTATTGCTCAGTAGTATTCCATTTTAATTTATCTGTTAGTTGATGGATATTTGGGTTGTTTTCAGTTTTGGCTATTCCCTATAAGACTTCTGTAAGCGTTCACCCACAAGTCTTTGTGCGAACTTATGTCCTCCTATCTTTGGGGTAAATACCTAGCATGAGATGGCTGAGCTATATCATAAGTCTGTGTGTAACTTTACAAGAAATTGCCAAACTGTTTTACAAAGCGTCTGTTCCATTTTACATTCCCACCAACAGTGTATGAGAGTTCCAGTTGTTCCACAGACTTGCTCGCACTTTAAAATTTTTAAAAATTGTACTACTTCTAGCAGATGTGTATTTCATTGTGGTCTTAATTTGCATTTCTGTACAACTAATGATGTTGAGCATATTTGCTTATTTGAGAAGGCTATGCTTTAGCAGTCTGCTATATTCTCTGGATACGAATAATGTTCTAATATTAGTGGCATTTGAGGTGAAAATTTCTTTTTTTTTAAGTTTATTTATTTTGAAAGAGTGAGTGAGCAGGGGAGAGGTAGAGAGACAGGGAGAGAGAATCCCAAGCAGGCTTTGTACTGTCAGTGTGAAGCTGACATGGGGCTCTATCTCATGAACTGTGAGATTATGACCTGAGCCAAAACCAAGAGTCGGTCGCTTAACCAACTGAGCCACCCAGGCACTCCAGAAGTGAAAATTCCTTTAAGAAAGTGGTTAAAAGTTTGAAAGGCCTCTTCCACTAGGTCCATACTATACAAAAGAAGGTTAGGGTGTGGAAACTATGTTAAACGTTGGCAAAGGGTGGTGGTCCGCCTGAGTGACTGATGATGCGACCCAGAGAGAGAGAGAGCATGTAGGACTTGAACATGGAGATTGGCAGAAAGCAGATTCCATGGCTCTACTGACCTTGGTATGGCTCGCTCGGACCTTAGCTAAACCTAGTGTTTGTGGGAAGTAGACCTAGATTTAATTACATTTTCCCGGATGCCCCAGGAGTCGCCTGGGAAAACTCAACAGTCCTTTATGGCCTTGGAGCATGTGGGTAGAAGCCTGCTGAACATAGAGCTATCCTCTCTGGGGACAATTTACCGGAATCAGTTAATCAAGCTTGAGAAATCAGTTTACCACAGGCCCAGAAATGCCACCACCCTTACCTTCTGAAACCCTATTTCTCTTGTCCATCTCTTAGTCAATTAATTAAGCAAACATTCCCTGACTGTTTATTGCATGCCAGGTACTAGGGAAAACATCGATGAAGAAAACAGAAGTGGTCCCTGCGGACTCAGAATGAAGGAGAAATACTTCAAGGGAAAAGAGAGGCAGCCCTCGGAGTACCCAGGAGGGGCTCCTAACCCAGGTGTCAGTGCAGGGGAGGTAATCAGGACAGAATCCTGGGCAAGCGGAAGCTACATGGAGACCTAAGGTTGAAGAAGAGTTAGCTAGGCAGACAGTGCTGGGAGAAAGGCTTTTCTGGACAGGGAACATACCAAGAAGTCCTGGCGGTAGGACATTCAGAGCCTGTCAGTAGTTTCTTCTGGGCATGGTTTAGGAGGTGGGGAGCAGTGTGAGAGGGGTGGGAGTCATCAGGGAGACCAGTTAAACTACCACATAGACTGGACTTCCTCCTTAGGGCAGTGGGGAGCTGGCAGAGGGTTTTAAGAGCAGAATGGCACATTTGGATATATGGTTTAATCGAATAACTGCAGCTGCTCCCTGATCAATGGATGGGAGGGGGACAAGACTAGAGGCAGGGAGACCAGTGAAGTGGCTGCTGTGGTCACCCAGGAGTGGGATTGACAGAGTGGCCTATTGACTGGCAGTGACTGTGAAGTAGGACCCTTTCCAGCCAGTAACTGGAAATGTGCATAAGGGCAGAAGCGAGTGTGTGACTGGCTTTGAAACATTGAGAAATCTAGTACATAGTACTGCATTCTTTTTGGTTTTGGTTTGTTTGTTCACTTCCTTGGAAAACCGATGTAGAAATGTCCCTTTGGCTTCAGTTACCTGAGCGGAGGGGTTTGGGCATTGCCAAACCCTTCTTTGTGGACAGAATTGCCCCAGCAACGATCACTGTGTTCTGAAGTGGGAAGAGGGAATTATTCAGGAGGCCAGGGCCATGCCAAGGTGGGTGGGGGATTGGGGGAAGAAGCCTGCCTGCTTGTACCCGGCAAAGCCAGAGCAGAACCTTCATTGCTGCTCTGGGCTACTTCTTGCTAACAACCTTCTCTGCATGTCTCCTGGAGGGTCACTGGGCTCAGAACCCATGTCTGGAGACCCAGAAACTCTCCTTTCAGGAAAGTACTCCCCAGAAAATCTCTTCCTGCCCTTTCTCATCTCTCGAACACTCTATTGAGGTGTGTCTTCTCTTCCTCTGAGATTTTTCACTGAAGTTTAGGGGACTCTGTGCTGTGGTTTGGCTGTGGGGGTCTCTAACATGAGGCTATTCAGGTTTCATCCTTCCTACTTCACCCTTTCCAGAAACCCACAGTGGATTTGCTAGAAATAATGGAATAGAAATGAATGTTTGGACAGGGTAAAACCATTGCTCTGTTAGGAGGTACCGATAGAACAGAGAAAGATAAGTGGGAAGAAGAGCGCTCATTTCTTTGGCACTTACAATGTGCCATGTACTGTGTTGGGAATTCATTTATATTATCTCATTTAATCCTTTGAATATCATGCAAGGTAGGTATTGTCATCTGCATTTTTTGATGAGGAAATTGAAGCTCAGAGAGTATAAAGCCTTGGCCAAGGGCACATAGTTGGGGAGCTGGGGTTGATTCCTATTGGGGCTCTCTCTGCTATGTTAATTGTTTTTAAATTACAATCTTGTATGCTTGCTTTGGCAGCATATATACTAAGATTGGAGTGAAACAGAGATTAGCACGGGCCCTGCACAAGGCTGACATGCAGATTCATGAAGTTTCCATATTAAAAACTAAATAAAATTTAAAAATTAAAATAAATAAATAAATAACTTGTGTTCCAAGCTTCTCATTGTTACCCTGGGGATCTGAAAAGATTCATGTAGCTTCTAAATCAACTAAGTGATTCCTAGAGAGCAGCTTTTGCACGAGAAAAATCTAGCTAATTATTTATTTCAGTATTTCTGGAATGCAAGCCCTATCCTAGGCCACTTACAAAACAATTGGGATGACAGACACGTCTCACAGTGGCATTCTGGCTCTCAGTGCTTGGGAGGTCCGTTGACAGCTTTAAACAACGAATTGCAAACCAATGCAGTGCCAGTATAACTCTTCTTCTTTTTGGGGTGAGAAATTTTGGGGGTCTATGTCCTAGAGGTTTGCTGAGCAAATGATAAAGAAATAGGACCTACAGCTTGAATATTTCAGAGTAACTCCTGATTTGTTGGATTGTCAATGAATGAATTAAAATACATAGTAGTAGGGTCTTTCCTTCTCAGAAACTGAAAACTCCCTCCACTCTCTTCTTTCTCTAGAGGTTTTAAATGCAAGTCCTCATGAAGTGGGCAGCAAAAGGGTAAAAGGTTGACCTTTGCATTGCAATCTCGTTTGGACTCACAGATTTTTTAGTCCAATATTTGGTTTTATATCCACAAGTGGTCACTGCATTAGTTCTTTTTGCCATTTGTTCCTCCCTTGCCTAGTTTCCCACTCCCACCTCTACGTTACTAGGGGCCACAATGATAAACTGAGCTATTTAGAAGTAAAGCTGGTTTCTGGGTTGTGGCAAGAGTTCATGACTATGAAGTGCCAGCAGGACCTAACTTTGACCTGTGTATCCCTCCCTTCTTCCACTTTTCATTTTCTACCCTTTCCCCAACTTTAATTTTAGTTTGACTACTTGGGATTATTCCAGCATTTAATAAATACAGTTGTTGAACGGGCAGCTGGGACACACAGCATGTTGTATCCGCTGCTTATGAGAACCATCCTTTTGCCCAGCAGGGTGAAACAGTCCTCCCGGGAGGTACCTGTGACACCTGATAAGGAGGGGCCAGGCCCTGTGTGCAGGTGCACACAGGTGGAGTAGAGCCAGAGTGTACATATGTCTGGGCAGTGGGAGATTGTTGGTTTCGCAGGTGATGCTCTCCGCCTGCCTCAGCTGACTTGTTTCTCCGTGGGATATTGTTTTCTTTCTACAGACACACAGCACTGGAATTGTCCTCGTCACCTGGGAACCAGGTGTCAATGTTATTTCCTCGGTATTTACTCATAGTCATCTAAAACAACTCCGTGGCTTTCCAGATTGGGAAACTGCTTTATCGATGGTGCCGTTTATCATTTGAAAGGCACAGCTATGTGGCCAGATGAAAATGTGGTCGGTAGCGAATTTCAAGAATTAGCATAAATTACTCCAGGTTCGAAGCAAAATTCATAAACGCTGCTACGTTTTATGGGAAGGAAAGCATTTTTCTTAGACAAGCGAGACAGGTGTCTGGGATTCCAGTGTGCCGTTTCCAACCTCAGGGTTTTGACCAACCAAGATTGCTCACTTAAGTCTGTTTTCTTTCATAAGTGCATTTTTCATTCCCAAATGGTCGCACCAACGGAGCTAAAATGATTAGGTTTATAATGACCACCTTCCAGGCTGCAGCCAGAAAAACCTCCAGAATCCCTGTTTACAGGAGAAACTCTGAAGCCGCAAGTTGGGGACTCAGGGCTTCCTGAGAGTAATTAGGACACTGATCTGGGTTTTGAGGTCCCAGGTGAGGGGGCTGGTGCAACAGCCCTCACTGGCGTATGGCTTTGCAACAATAACTGATAGCGTTCTCTCCTGCTTTATCTTTCAGTTAATGACCAGCCACAGCGTCCCTGCTGTGAGCTGCTGCTGCTGCCTCCAGAAGCTCCTGAGCCACACACAGGTTGCTGCGGCTGCTGGCTGAGGAAACATGGCTTACTGGCCACAGTTGAGGTTGCTGCTGTGGAAGAACCTCACTTTCAGAAGAAGACAAACAGTAAGCTTGGGTTTCTCTGGGGAGGTTCTCCTCTGCTTTTCTTCATGGTTGTGAGTTGGGGATTGGAGAAGGGAGGAGAGGGAATCCTCTTGGTTTCTTAAAGGGAAAGAGTGAATCTGGCCCTGATGAGCACAGGTCCGTGTGGTCCTGATAGAGCCCTACTGCTTATGAGAGAGGGAAGATGTGCGGCCAGGCAGAAATGTCAGCTTTAGTTTGTGCTAGTGGCCAGGCATGAGTTCTGACCCCTGGAATCTGGCACAGAATTGCCTCTGACCATCCCATTCTTTCCTTTTGCTACAGCCTTGGGGCCACCTGGCTGTGAGCACCTGAAGGGCCCTTGTATTTCTGGGAGGTGGGAATGAAGTGAGTTAACAGCCCAGCTCTTAGAGAGACGCTGATCTCTTCGTGTCAGTGTGGACTCTCTCAGCTCTGACTGAAAGCCTCAAGGAATATAAAACTGAGATTTGTTTGATTGCTGTGGAGGGTTCTAAGCCATTCACTTCCCAGTTGGGACACAAATTCTTTGCATATCTTGAGAAGATCATCTTTAATGCTCAGGTGAATGGTGTTTTTACACAGAGGAGGGTAAAGGCTGTGAGGCACAGTGAGCTCCCTGGAGCTCAGACATCAGCTCTTTGCTTGTCTATCTCTGATGAACACTCCTGGACACCCTATCTAGTCTCCTGGGCTTAGCTGCACCCCTCTGTAGTTGGCTTCTAAATCTGTTTCCTGTCCTGCCCTTTCTTCTGAGTTCAGAGCCTGAGTCCCCACTGGGCTATCTTAACTAAGCTTAACATGTCTATAACCAAAATGATCATCTTAGACTCAAAAAGCTGTAAGAGACCTTTGAGAGAATTGAATTAGTGTTTCTCAAACCAGAATAATGCTTGGACATTCTTTAAAAGAACAAAAATGTCAAGATTCCCCTTGTGTTCGTGAAACTTATTCTTTTTCTTTTTTTAATTAAAAAATTTTTTTTAAATTTAACTTATTTTTTTAATTTACATCCAAGTTAGCATATAGTGCAACAATGATTTCAGGAGTGGATTCCTTAATGCCCCTTACCCATTTAGCCCATCCCCCCTCCCACAACCCCTCCAGCAATCCTCTGTTTGTTCTCCATATTTAAGAGTCTCTTATGTTTTGTCCCCTTCCCTGTTTTTATATTATTTTTTGCTTCCCTTCCCTTATGTTCATCTGTTTTGTCTCTTAAAGTCCTCATATGAGTGAAGTCATATGATATTTGTCTTTCTCTGACTCACTGATTTCGCTTAGCATAAT